CTCCCTGGAAGTGTTCAAGGCCAGGTTGGATGGAGCTCTGAGCAACCTGGTCTAGTGGAAGATGTCCCTGCTCATGGCAGCGGGGTTGGAACCAGATGACCTTTCAGGTCCCTTCCAACCCGTACCATTCTATGATTCTATGATTCTGTGATTCTATGATTCTGTGATTCTATATTGTCTCCTCTGCATGCCATTTTCTGACGTTGGGCTCTGCAGAGAGCAGGGTACACCTCATCCTTCTGTGTTTCTTTTCCTATGTCATCACCACAGGGCAACAGGGAAGCTGTCATTACAGGCTGCAGGAGAGCTTAGTAGTTTGGTAACCAGCAGCGGGGATTTAAAGACTGTTCTCAGCCCAAAGATCAGCAGATTCACATTGCCGTGTTTTCTCCATCCTTTGCACCCAGCTTAGAACAGGGGCAAAGCTCCCTCCTCCTCCTTCCACTCATGGCAATTATTTAGCACCTCAGATCCATGTATCTGAGAGCACTCACAGAGGGGACACTTTCTCCCCACCCATCACAATTTCCAGCAAGGGGTGGTTTCAATGTAATCCTCTTTACCAGAAGATTCAGCTTGAAAGCCACCCCACCGAGAGAGGAAGGCTTCGCTGTATTACTCTGAGGGGTCAGCATGCATACAAATCAAATTCCCATGTCTCCAGTGTAATGAGATCTCTTAGGACTGTAGTGTTAGGATTGAAGAGTCTAAAAAGGGGAAAGAATTAAGCCTGCAATCACTTGGACTGATTTAAATTAGCTTTTTTCCCTCTCGCTTTGATTAAAATAAGCCGATTTTCCTTTCCACCTGTGTTTCTTATGCAGGCAGAATTTCCATTAACTTCAGCTGATGCTTTTTTTAACTTCTCGAAGCTAAAACTTCATGGCATCCCTTCATCTGGTTGCCAGGAGTTGCCTTAGCACCTTGCCACTCTTGTGATATTAATTATAACCTCTCCCTGCTTTCCATACCAGTCACCTCTGTTATTAAATGGACCTCCTGTGTGCCTTTCTTCTATCTTATTAAAGAACACTGACCTTCATTATTCGTTACAGAATTATAATGAATATTCATTACAGAATAGCAATGATATTGAGCTTACATTGTCGCCAGGAAGATTTAGGTCAGGCATAAAGGAAATCCTCGTGCGACAGGGACGGTGATGAACTGGAGAGCTTTGGGGGTGGGACAGGGCACGTGTCCCATCACTGGGGGCTTTCAAGCAGACACCCAAATATCAGGTGTGCAGCAGGTCGCGATGATGCTGATTTGGGGCAGGCAGGTGGGATCCCAGACAGCCCCTGCACTTTTGCACACTTTCTGTGGAAGTAGGAGTATGGGTAATCTTCCAGCAACTTCTACCAGTAGTCATCCAACAGAAGGAATGGCACAATGTTTAATAGCATAATTTTCAAGCTCTGCACTAATCGTACAGTGATTAAATCAAAGAGAAGACAATGTAAGCTGGGCAGTCTTCACTGGCCATTGATTAGTTGCTCCAGACCTGCATTAACGGCACAAAAGACGCTGTCTGTCCCACCACCATCACCCTGATGTACTCATTAATCTCCGTGCAATCCTCCATCAGCTACACTGAGCTCAGCTCCTCACTTCGTGCCCAGGTTACACCTGGAATAACGCCCAGCAGTGGGATGGGAAGCGCCCGAGGAGCAGGCTGTGCTCTCAGCCATGGAGCAGGCTATGGGAGCCCTTGGGGCTGCCATGGTCACCTTCCTGCCTCCCCTAGGTATTCACACCCTCCTCTTGACCTACAGCAGGCATTCCTCGAAACAGGGTCAAAAGCAAAGACGCAAACCCAGAGAGGGAAGGTCCATTTTAGGCTCTAATGCAGAGACAACCCCAGTCAGGAGAGCCTTAAGCTGCTGATTCCAAACTGCAAAGCAAAGATCTGCTGTTTCTTTTTCTCAAGGCATCTGGTTTTGGCCACTGTTAGAGCAAGGATCTGATAGTAAGAAAGACATCAGAGGCCAAATATGAGCTCTTGCATGGGTCTCACCTCCAGAGAGGTTGCAATAGTGTGCTGGCTTTGGCTGGGACAGAGTTAATTTTCTTCACAGTAGTTAGCATGGGGCTGTGTTTTGGATTTGTGCTGATAACAGTGATGATAACACAGGGATGTTTTCGTTACTGCTGAGCAGTGCTTACACAGCGTCAAGGCCTTTTCTGCTCCTCACCCCACCCCACCAGCGAGGAGGCTGGGGGAGCACAAGGAGCTGGGAGGGGACACAGCCGGGACAGCTGCCCCCAACAGACTAAAGGGATATTCCATGCCATATAACGTCATGCTCAGCAATATAGAGGTGGGGAAAGAAGTAGGAAGGGGGTGATGCTTGGAGTGATGGCGTTTGTCTTCCCAAGCAACCATTACACATGATGGAGCCCTGCTTTCCTGGAGATGGCTGAACACCTGCCTGCCGATGGGAATCACAGTATCACAGAATGTTCGGGGTTGGAAGGACCTCTGTGGGTCACCCAGCCCAACCCTCCTGCCGAAGCAGGGTCACCTAGAGCAGGCTGCAGAGGACCACGTCCAGGCGGGGCTGGAATATCTCCAGAGAAGGAGACTCCACAGCCTCCCTGGGCAGCCTGGGCCAGGGCTCTGTCACCCTCAGAGGGAAGAAGTTCTTCCTCATGTTCAGCTGGAACTTCCTCTGCTTCAGTTTGTGCCTGTTGCCCCTCCTTGTTTCGCTTTGCCAGCATGCGCAGCTTTTGCTTTACCTATTAAACTGTCTTTATCTCAACCCAGGAGCTTTCTCAGTTTTACTCCTCCAATTCTCTCCCCCATCCCATCGGGGAAGAGCGAGCAAGCGGCTCTGTGGGGCTTGGTTGCTGCCTGGGGTTAAGCCACGACAAATAGGAGCCCCCATTTGAGTAGCAGGGTTATTTGCCTGTCCCCATGCTGATACCTGCATGGTCAAAAGCAGACCACACGCAGCAAAAGCAGTTATCCCCAGCAGGGTCCACAGCTGAGCCTCAACCACGTGATACGGTACAGACACCCAGCACGGGGCCTCCCTCTCTCCATCTGCTCCAGCTGCTGTGAGTCAACTTGATTTGAGAACAAAGCTAGAAGGGGATAAAATCAAACATGGTTTCTTCTTGTGTTTCCACTGAAAAAAAATTATTTTAGCATAGTTCCACTTCCAATCAGTAAAATAAATGGTTGCTTGATTTTGAAAAGTTTGGTAAAATCGAAACAAACTCCCAGAACTAACATTCTGCATGAAAAAAAAAACCCAAAACACAAACAAAAACCAACAGCCTCTGATGTTGAAGTATCACCCTAAAATAAATGAGTGTTGCAGGAGTCTGCAAGCAAAATGAGCCCTGGATTCTGTTCCTTCTTCTCAGGGAGTTTGTTTTAACCACCAACTTGTCCAGGCAGTCCTCACCACATCAAAGGACACCCAGAAGCCACCATTGCAGCAGAACATCCCCAATAAGTCTCTGTGCTCCCACCAGCAATGACGCATCCTTTCCCAAGCAGCATGGAGGGGCGAGGTGGAAATGAACCAGGCAGCTTGAGCCCCTCTTATTTTAGATCAGAGCAAGGGAACTCAGAAGTTGCAGTCTGAGTTTCTGCAGGAGCCCAGAGCCCGTCTCCCACCCTGACCAGGCTGTTCCTGTCCACGTCCCACTCGAGCCCCACCAGGACTTGCCCAGCGGGGAGCCCAGAGCCTGGCTGTCAGACAGCTTCTTGCCAGGAGGGATATGAACCTGGGCAGATGCTCTGCCTTTAAAAGCAATGGGTGTGTCTGCACCAGATTTTTTCTCTTTTTAACAAAGCAGTGACAATTGTTTCTTGCCAAGGGTCTGATGATGCTGATACCAGCCATGGTGACGATCTCTGGTAACACAGATCAGAGCAGGATCTCTATACTCTTGTGCACACTCCTCTTTACACTCTTGAGCAGGATCTCTACAACTGCTTAGTTGCTGGATCCCAAATGACAAAGGGGTCCAGCCGTGCTGAGCCAGGAATTTCTGTGCACGCACAGAGGCAGATCAGACAGCCCTGAGGCACAAGGAAATCAAGCTTGAGCGATCTGGTGAGGTTGAGTACCTGCTGGGTGGAGGTAGAGGAAGGAGAGGGCTGGACCATATTTAAGACACAGACCTCTGCATTTCAGTCACAGGCTCCTTCCAATACCTTTTTTCCCTCAGAGTTTGCTCATAATGACTCCCCTCTTTCACCTTCACACACGCACGGACTCACGCACCATCCTGTCCTATCGAACCATTAACCAAGCACCAAGTGACCAGCCACAGCAGGATGGTCCTCCCAGTGCTCAATACAACCTTCAAGCTAACTTCAGTTCTCATGCACGCCCTCCAACCTCACCACTTCTTGCAGGGCTTTTCACTCTCAAGCCTTTCCAATCACATATGCAACATTTTTGGCCGCAGTACAGCTCCCTGTCTCATCTCCACCTTCCCTGGCCTTTCTGAGTGAGGTCGGAGCAGTCGCACAGGACACAAAGCTAACAAAGCCAGTGGAGCTGTAGCCTGAAGACCTTGCTGGGGAGCAGGGAACGGCCCCACAGAGAGAGGTGATAGCAACGCTGCCGCCACCGAGCCATGGTACAAAGCCAGGGGCAGATGTGGTAGGTTCAAGCAGCCAAGGCAAGGAGGAAGAAGTTAGGAAAGCAGCTGGGAAAGGCTACGGGACCCCTTTTTCAGGCATCAGTTATGGTAGGCAACCCTATTTCCATCTTCATTTATCTCCTGGCATTTACCAGCACGATAGGCAACCTCACTGCACTCTTTGCCTTTATCAGTAATGCCATCCAGCACAAAGTCCTTCAGCCCTCAGACAGGATCACTGTCAGCACGGCCCTGGTGCACCTCCTATGCTGTTGCTGCAAAGAGGTCCCACCAGTCCTCTCCTTTCCCAGCACCAGTGTTTTTGGTGAGACGGGGTGCCACATCCTCCTCTACGCATATCACATGCTGAGGCTGATCAGCATCTGGTCAGTGAAGAATCTAAGTTTCCTCCATATGATAAAGATCCATAGACCTAATAATCACAGGTCCAAGTTCATCTACAGGCATCAGCGGCAGCATGTGAACAGCATCCTTGCTGGCTGCTGGATCTTCAGCATCATCTTCCGATTGCCCTACCTTCAGTACAACACAGCAGTAGAGAGGATAAATAAAGAAACTTCTGTGCTTGGCTACCAGCGCTTGCTTAAGCTCTCCAGCGAGTTTCATCATGAGGTTCAACACCTACACATCCGTCAGCCTGGATCTCATCTTCATCAAACTTGTGATAGTCGTGAATGGATTCATCATTGACCTCCTCTAGAGGCAAAGGAGAAAGGCAAGGGCTGCCTCAAACACCGGGAGCACCTGGAACAAGCACACGGCTCAGGTGACCAAGACCTTGCTTTTGCTGCTGTTGATTTACGTTGCCTGCTGGCTCTCCAATGACATCACCAGGATTGCTCTTGTTTTCATCAGGATTGCTCTTGTTTCAGGACTCCTTGAGCAAACCCTTGAGAACAGCATCCTCAGAGGTCTCTACGGAGTGTTGTCCTGCATCTGTTGCTCCTCCAGTTCCTATGTCATTGTGTTTGGCTACAGGAAGGCCAGAGAATACCTCACTGAAGCCTGCTGGTGCCTGAGATGTGAGATGCCTACCATCGTCCAGAGCGTGGAGATGTAGCCTCCCAAAATCCTTCATGGGTTCTTCGGCTTTCCAGACAGCAAAGCATGCCTGCTATGAGGGATTTCTTCAGGCATTTAAAATAAACCACTGCCAGCCTTCTGGAAACCTCTCTTGGACCATGATTAAAATTCCGGGGGTTCTCATCAATCTTCTTGCGCCTTGTGGTAACATTGTGGGGCATCATCAACCAGATGAGGGAACTAATCAGAAAATAGAGCCAGTGGACATCAAAGAATGGATTCGCCCCGGAGACGTGTCACAGAAAATATCCCAGAGAAAGCTGATTTCAAAAAGCGCAGCAGCAGGTAAACATTCACCTGCAGCCAGAAGAAAGCAAATGGAAATACTCTCCTCACCACCAGTCCGCAACTGCCCGTAATAAACAAGAGATCAAGTACATATAGTCCCTCAGGACTTGTTACTTTCAAAAATGGTAAGAGGGAAAGTAGACATTCTTCAGTATTGTCACTGGCAGGTGAGCGTTTCCATTTCCACAATAGCTCATTGAGAGAGAAAACGAGTAACAAAAAGCCCTCTGAAAGCCCAGACATTACACGAATATGGGCAGCCAGGAGCATTGTTAGATTCTAGGAAAAACTACTGCAAGATTACTTTTTCAGAAATCATGATTTTATGAAGATAAAAATATGACCAGGCGAATGGTGCTACGCTTTAGAAGTTCATGGCTTCCAGCAACAAACATTTATTTCTCAACAAAACAGAAATCATGAAGTCACAATGCCAGGGTACATTTCCTTGTGTCAGATCATTCCAAGCAGCTGAAAAAATCAGGGGAAAAATGTAACTCCAAATTCTTATGTATCTTTCCCTCCTAGCCACAAGGGCAGGGGTCTGGGAATGAAAGAATGAAAACTTCCTGGGTGCCTTTCTGTCATTAAAAAAGAATTGTTTCTACTATTATTTTGATTTGACTGATGTGATTCTGCATAATCAAATGCTAGCTGACACGTTGAACGTTGCTTCCCTTCTTGTCTAGTGCTGCCTAAAAGCCTCCTTCTGCTTGTGTGCCTTAAAACGGCAACACCTGCAACACAGCTACTGGGGTTTTGGGGGTCTCATCTTGCCTTGTCCACACACACCTGCCAAATATTTGTATACAGGCAACTTTTGCCATTTTGGGGTACACACCTCTGGGGTAACAACCTGTCTGCAACCCAGGGAAGATGTCAAAGGCCTGGGGCATTTTAACAGGTGCTCAGCAAGGGATGGGCTATGCAGAAGTCCTGCCCAGGAGCTACCTAGCCTCGTACACTGCTCTTT